AGGTTCCTCTCCTGTGCGTCAGCTACAAACCTCAGACCATCAGCCCCAAGTTCAAGGTCGGTTCAGCGTTTAACCCGTCGATCGTTTGACTTATGAGACGAAAAAAATATGAAGGAGTAACGTGTGTGTGTGTGTGTGTGTGTGTGTGTGTGTGTGTGTGTGTGTGTGTGTGTGTGTGTGTGTGTGTGTGTGTGTGTGTGTGTGTGTGTGTGTGTGTGTGTGTGTGTGTGTGTGTGTGTGTGTGTGTGTGTGTGTGTGTGTGTGTGTGTGTGTGTGTGTGTGTGTGTGTGTGTGTGTGTGTGTGTGTGTGTGTGTGTGTGTGTGTGTGTAGGGCAGTGTGAGGGCTCTGCTGCACGAGAAGATCAGAGACGCCTACACACACCCTCAGTTCATCACCGACGTCATGAAGCCGATGCAGATCGAGAGCATCATCGACCAGGACGTAAGAGACACACAGACAGACAACAAGACACACACAGACAAGAAGACACAGACAAGACACACACAGACAAGACACACACAGACAAGACACACACAGACAAGAAGACACACACACAGACAAGAACACACAGACAAGACACACACAGACAAGAAGACACACACACAGACAAGAACACACAGACAAGACACACACAGACAAGAAGACACACACACAGACAAGAACACACAGACAAGACACACACAGACAAGACACACACAGACAAGACACACACACAGACAAGAAGACACACACAGACAAGAAGACACAGACAAGACACACACAGACAAGACACACACAGACAAGACACACACAGACAAGAAGACACAGACAAGACACACACACAGACAAGAAGACACACACAGACAAGAAGACACACACAGACAAGACACAGACAAGAAGACACACACAGACAAGAAGACACACACAGACAAGACACACACACAGACAAGAAGACACAAGACAAGAGACACACAGACAAGAAGACACACACAGACAAGACACACACAGACAAGACACACACAGACAAGAAGACACACACACAGACAAGAACACACAGACAAGACACACACAGACAAGAAGACACACACACAGACAAGAACACACAGACAAGACACACACAGACAAGACACACACAGACAAGACACACACAGACAAGACACACACACAGACAAGAAGACACACACAGACAAGAAGACACAGACAAGACACACACAGACAAGACACACACAGACAAGACACACACAGACAAGAAGACACAGACAAGACACACACACAGACAAGAAGACACACACAGACAAGAAGACACACACAGACAAGACACAGACAAGAAGACACACACAGACAAGAAGACACACACAGACAAGACACACACAGACAAGACACAGACAAGAAGACACACACAGACAAGACACACACAGACAAGACACACACAGACAAGACACACACAGACAAGAAGACACACACAGACAAGAAGACACACACAGACAAGAAGACACAGAGACAAGAGACACACAGACAAGAAGACACACACAGACAAGAAGACACACACAGACAAGAAGACACACAGACAAGACAGACAAGACACACACAGACAAGACACACACAGACAAGAAGACACACAGACAAGACACACACAGACAAGAAGACACACAGACAAGACACACACAGACAAGACACACACAGACAAGAAGACACACAGACAGACAAGAAGACACACAGACAGACAAGAAGACACACAGACAAGACACACACAGACAAGAAGACACACACAGACAAGAAGACACACACAGACAAGAAGACACACACAGACAAGAAGACACACACAGACAAGAAGACACACACAGACAAGAAGACACGCACAGACAAGACACACACAGACAAGAAGACACACACAGACAAGAAGACACACACAGACAAGAAGACACACAGACAAGACACACACAGACAAGAAGACACACACAGACAAGACACAGACAAGAAGACACACACACACACACAGACAAGAAGACACACACAGACAAGAAGACACACACAGACAAGACACACACAGACAAGAAGACACACACAGACAAGACACAGACAAGAAGACACACACACACACACACAGACAAGACACACACAGACAAGAAGACACACACAGACAAGACACAGACAAGAAGACACACACACACACACACAGACAAGAAGACACACACAGACAAGAAGACACACACAGACAAGAAGACACACACAGACAAGAAGACACACACAGACAAGACACAGACAAGAAGACACACACACACAGACAAGAAGACACACACAGACAAGAAGACACACACAGACAAGACACAGACAAGAAGACACACACACACAATAAGTGCAACACAAGCACAGACACATGTTTACACACATCCCACAAAAGCACACACACGCTGACTCCGCCCCCTCCCCCCCTCAGGTGCAGAACCTCTCCGGTGGCGAGCTGCAGAGAGTCGCTCTCACTCTGTGTTTGGGGAAACCGGCTGACGTTTATCTGATCGACGAGCCGTCGGCGTACCTCGACTCGGAGCAGAGACTGATGGCGGCGAGGGTCATCAAGAGGTCAGAGAGAGAGAGAGAGGCGCCACTCGCCCGTTTCTTAGTATTTCTTCTATTAAAAAGGTTTCCTTTGAACTCTGTCGTGTGTTTTCAGGTACATCCTCCACGCTAAGAAGACGGCGTTTGTGGTGGAGCACGACTTCATCATGGCGACGTACCTCGCAGACAGAGTCATCGTGTTCGACGGCGTTCCCTCCAAGTGTACCGCGGCCAACACGTGAGACACGGGAACATTTCTTTAAACGTTGAAGAGAGAAAAGGAGCTCGATGATTAACGTCTCGTCTTCTTCAGTCCTCAGAGTCTGCTCGCCGGAATGAACCGCTTCCTGTCGCTGCTCGAGATCACGTTCAGGAGAGACCCGAACAACTTCAGACCGAGGATCAACAAACTCAACTCCATCAAGGTGAACACACACACATTAAACACACATTAAACACACACACACACATTAATCACACATTACACACACACACACACACACAGCAGGGGTTGACATTAAGTTAAATTTGCCGCTGGCTCAGGAACGTTACTTTTGATTTGAAGAATAACAGTCACCAATTTATTCTTGAACCATTCTGATGAATTACAACTTTTATTAAATGAATTGAGCTCTAATGATAAACATTATGTGCTCCATGTTTACTCACCATGCTGTAAGAGTCTTAATGTGATATTAATATGAGGCTTGATAGATCTGGAATCTCTCCTTCTTCTCTGTGAGAAACTCTTTACATCTTTACATCTTTACTTTAGGAGCTCTCTTAAGGACTAACATGTTTTGTGAATAACTTTGATCTTTAGCAGGATCTAGTCTTTAACTTTAACGTGTTCCAGCTCCTCCAGCTGTCTGTCACTGTGGATCAAACTTTTCATCCTGCTGTCACTCTCCACTCTTCCTGTGATTTGTTTTCTTTGAATTCTGATTTAAACTCGGCTTCTGTCAAGATCTGATGATTTTAAAACCGTTTTACCGAACGTGTTTCATCAGAGAAAACCTGCTCTGAAATCTGTGTGCGAGTGTAGCCAACGCGCTTGTGGGAGTGACAGCAGTGAAGCCGTCGGCTGCCTAATTACTGACAAAACACCGGCATGACAGGAACGTGTTACGGCTCGCCCGGACTCTGTCAATCATTCATCCGGGCCAGTTATGTGGAGCCCTGACACACTAAACAGAAGTAACGGAGGGATTCTGCAGCTGATGTGATAACTTGACGGCGTTTTCACATCTTATCTGTTTAAACAAACGAGTCTGTTTGCGTTCATGTGAAAGCTGTCAATCAAACCCTGATGTGGACCAAACGACCGCACAGAGAGCGCTTTCTGATGTGGTTAGTTTGTAGTAAGAACGTCGACCGACAGGAAGTAACCACCTTGTTTACGATCTCAAACCGAGGGCTTGAGTTTGACGTGGGGTGGTGGCCTTGTGGTTGGTGTGTGTGCCCCGTGTACAGAGGCTGTAGTTCTTCAGGCGGGCAGATCAGGATTCCACTGTCCATTTAGAAATTGGAAAGTCTCTTTGGAGCAGCAACAGCCAATCACACGTGTTCAATAAAGTTTTGTTTAAATTAAATTATTGATTGTCGTGTTTTGTTTCCTCTCAGGACACGGAACAGAAGAAGAGCGGCAACTATTTCTTCCTGGACGACTAAAAAAAACCCGCTTCCTGTGAGACGGACCGTGACGGTGGCGTCCTGCGAGGCTTTCAGGAGCCCTCATCACAGTCCCGAGCGCAGCCCTTGACATTTACCACGAGAACAAGTGGGCTGCGTTCAAACCCACAAACATGTTAACATCATAAAGAGAGAGTAAATAAACAAAACACCCATCAGCCTGTGTACAGGGCTGCGTTCAATAGCCAGCAGACGTGTCGTGAAACGTTTTGAAATAAAAGTTCATCGCATTCTGTGTCGAGCCCGAACATTACAGGGCTGCGTTCACACGCCAGCAACATTGTGGAACATTACGCAGCATATTTTAAACATTCATGCATTTACAACAAGTGATAATAAACGGATGAAACCTGAAACACTGCAGCTTCTGTTATTTCAAACATGTTTAAAGGTGTAATAAATATCAGTGAGATGATAAAGGTATCTTACTATCTGAGGTCAAGAGAAGTGGTTCAGATAGAAGTGATTGTACCCGACCTAAAAAGCCTCTGCATGTTTCTAATAAGCTCCACGAGCAGAAACGTGCTCAAACTAGGATCAATATTGGAGATGCTTTTGAAAAATGGAGAGAGGTTAGAACACAGAAAGGTTTACAGACCCATGCAGAGCTGAACACTGAAGCTTCAGAGTCCACCACATGGTGACCTGAGTGACGAAAATGTCTTGTCTAGGATCATGTATGATGAGTTTTGGAAAATTATTCAGGATAATTTCATAATGACGATACAAGAATCTGGTTAAAGAAGTAAAAAAAGACAGATTTAAGCAGCTGCATCATCTGAACCAAAGTTTTATTTATTCAACCGCATAGAAAAATCAACACAGACAACAAAAAGCTTTTTGTTCTGTACAGCAGTGTTTCCCAAACTCAAGAAAAAAAAGTGATGACATGAAAAGAAAAAAGAAGTATGAAAAGTAAGGCACTGACTGAATCTCTAAAGTGTTCGGATTTGATCAAACAAAACACAAGAAGGAAAGAAAAAACAAACCAGGTGAGAAGAAGAAATCAGACATTTACACTAAAGACATGAAACCAACAACAAGACAAATAAAAAATAAGTGCACACGGCTTCAGATCATCTCTGAGTTTCCTAAAGTCCTATTTACAGGTTTTACGTTTTTAAAGCAGCGATCCTATTCCTTTGTCCACGTCCTTGTCTTTAAGCTAACACAAGCTTGTTTATTTTTGCATAAATATGTCAAACACGTTTTGAACATGCTAAGCGCTAATTTTTCATTCTACATTTGAGGGACGCTAAAAGTCTGAAATCTGAATTACCGATCAAAAAAAAAGTTGCTAAATTTTGGGAAATTTGACGAGAAGTTCATTCCACTCTTATGACTGAAAAGCTAAAGATGTAGCTGTATCCAGAGGCAATCAGCTTAGCTTAGCATACAGAGTGCAAATCACGGAAAATGGCTAGCCGAGCACCTCTCGACAGTAAGCAAAACATGTTCAAGAAATACAGCTAGGTGGATTATGTTCTTTATCAACAGAGCCAGGCTAGCTGTTCGTCCAGTTTGTCTTTATGCTAAGCTAGCCTTGTTGTGGCTTTACCTTCATATCAGGCTCCACAAACATCTCTATTTGCATAAAAATAAAGACAATGTTCACTATCTGTCCTACCAGAAGCGTGTAGCTTTCTTCGCTTAAATATGTGTAAATGTCTAACTCTTTACAGTGATGCTAAGCTATCAGTTGTTGTGTGTTCAAATGATGCTAGAGAGTCTAACGTTTGGCAATGGGCTAAAGAAATGGCACTAAAACTCCTAGAAATATTGTCAATAAGAGGTGGATAGCACTAATATGTATGTCTGGTCAATATGCAGTGATAGTCTGAAGGAGTTAGCTTAGCTTAGCTTAAACAATGAAAACAAGAAAACAGCTAGCCTAGCATGTAACCCCGAGAAGTAGTAGACATTTTTGTTTCTACAATTCAGCCTGTTATAAGTCACTGTGTAACTTTCAAGAACTTTAAAGCTAACTGTTAGCTTCTATTTCAAGTCTTTATGCTAACATAAGCTAGCCCGTTTTGGCATTAGCTTCATATGTAGCTCTTACACCCAGGAGTGATATTAAGTTCTGCGTGAAAATCTTACTAATCCTTTAAAATAAATTAAATGTGATGTCAAATTAAGTGCAGGACTTTTTATGAAGCTGAAGTTTCAGACATTTTTTCAAACATCATCAACATAGCAACAAACTCAAAGCAGCTCAAACTCAAACATGTTTATAGTCCTCACAAAAAAAACTTTGTCTGACTCTTCAAATCGATACATTCAACTGCCGTAAATAGTACAATGATGTGTAAACTAACTCTTGCTAATATGCTATGCTAACAAGCTAGCTAATGTGACTAAGGATTGTAGTGTTCATGTTTTATTTTCTTGGCAATCGGAAGCGTTTCGACACATCAAACACACCAACGGGATTTGGGAAGACGATTGATCGTTTCTGGCATATTTTGGATCGGGTAAGTGCGATCATTTCCATCATCCAATCAGCTTTCAGTATAGTGACAAAAAAAGTGATGGGATGAGAATTTACTTAATCGTCGAAGAAGCAGGAAAGGTCTGATTCTAACTTCGAAAGCACTGAGCAAGGAAATGAAAACATGCATCCTCCTCTTGAGCTGAAAGCTAGTAACCTCTCTCACGACCCCTTCCCCTGTGGGAGGAGTTAAACTGGACAAAGCCAAACCCCGCCCCTCCATCTGCCCCATACCTCCTCCTGTTTGCCCCTCTCCCTGGATCATGGCTTCCCCTTCCTCTCCCCCCTCCCCCGCCTCTTTGGTACCTCCTCTGCCCTCGGTAGTTCATCTGTTTGAATCCGGCCTGCTCGTCCCAGTCGTCCTCTGTGCTGCATCCAACAGACGAACCCTCTGCCATGGCGACGTTAGCCAGGTAGTCCACCTGGCCGTGCTCTGGCGCTCCCAGTGGGACGTACACGTTGTTGGTGGGATTAAGGGGCTTTGGGTAGTTGCGGTAACCATAAGAGGGGCTGCTGTTGTTGTTGTTGGTGGGTGTGGCTGTCGCGGTGAAGAATTCATAGGGCACTGGATGGCCAGGTGTGCTGCTGGGCTTCATGGTCGTCATGGAGACAGGGACATCACCTGGGTTTGAAGCCAGCTGAGAGACAGAAAACACATTTAGTACCACTAAAGCTAAACATCCTTTAATATAACATTGATATAACTCAGTATACCTAAACAGCTATTTGTTAATATATCACAACTTTCACTTCTAGTTTACTTAAAAAAGTTACTTCTGTTCATTTCCTGAAGTAACCGTAGTTGTAGTGCTATTTTTAGAATACTGCAACTACTACTTTAACTACCACCATTAATATACCACAGCAACAGCTCTTAATATGCAGCTTTAACAGCTCTTAATGTACCATAGGATTGTTGACAGGCAGCTCGCCCAGCATCACGGCTCTGGTCACTCTCTCTCCTTGCTCCTTCTTGTGGGCTGAGGGAGGAAAAAACGTATTAGAACTCCCACAGAGACATTTGGATCTTTGGCTCCCCCTGGTGGCAACAATCTGTAAAATGTTCAAATTGAATTCCTTGAAGAAACTTCAAACAATCTCTTAAATATAAATGTAGACATTTTCATTACATATTATTTTGATGACTACCTACGTACCAAAACCAGGAACCATCACTGTTATGTTGTTAGCGTTAGCCACGTTAGCAACAGGAGGACTCCCTAGAAGACCATGACCTTGGACAGGCCGTTGCCCGGGCATGATGTTCCCATTGGAGGGACGATGCTGCTCCATTGCCCCTTGGCTCACCTGGAGCTCCTCAGACGCAGAGGAGGGCTGATATCCCAGGGAAGAAGGGGGATAAGAGGACACACTAGAAGGGTACAGCGGGTGTCCCGGGCTTTGACCTGGTTGGTACCCCTGAGAAATGGTGGGTGGGACTGCATAATGTGGGTTCAGGGTGGGATACCCGACTGGAAAGTTGAGGTTCCTGGGTGGAGGCATCTGCTGCTGTAACCACTGCTGGGGCATCCTGTGGGTCGGAGGCTGTGAGATGGGGTATCCCGACTGGTTGTAGGAGGGGTCGCTATGGTGGGGGGGCTCTGTGGGCGGGGCCTGGTGGTCGTACTGAGGAGGCATCGATGCTGATGTGGGAGGGTACTGAGGGTGAGGGTACGGCTCCTGTGGCCTCGGTGGAGGGTTGGAGGGAGGATAGTGGGGGCTGGGAGAGCGTGAGGTGATCCTGGGGTGCATGGTGTGGGTTTGTTGGAGGGGCAGGAGGTAGACGTAAGGTGGTAACATGGGCATCGAGTAAGCCTGAAGGGGGGGGGGGAGAGTCAGTTCCTGTGCACACATCTGCCTTAATTTAAAAGCTTTAATAAGATTTTAAACTTTTACTCTGCGCTGTAATTACTTCTTTTTTTTAACTCTTTTAATTTCTTGACTTTTAGTTTTTTATGTAAATTAATTTCATTTGAATTATTTGAGTGATTATTTTCATTTGAAAAGATAACTCCGGACTTTTTCAGGAGATTTCTGATATGTGTGAAAAGGGTGAAAGTCTGAGTAAACATCTTGTCCTTTGTCTTACCTTGAGACCCAAGTTGAAGAAAAACCTCAAGATGTTGACATCTGCAGAGGACGACACACGAGACAGAATTTTAGTTCAATAACTTTCCAATAATAAAATACTTTCTGATTCCACTCTTGTTTTATTTTTTCGGTCCGGCTCACCTTGCGGCAGGTCGTCCCCCGATCTGCTGCAGGACATGAGGGGGGGCTGAGCGGGCTGGCCCTTCTCCCCCTGAGGAAACCCGGGGTACAGGGGGTCCTGGTAGAGCTGGGACATCTGCTGCAGGGGGACGGCCCCTTGGATGGACGTCAGGTGAGGCGGGTGAGCGAGGTGTGACTGGGAGGGGTGAGGGGGGTGTGACTGCTGAGGGTGGGGGGGAGACTCTGGTAAAAGCTGAGCGGGAGGAGGAGGAGGAGGGGGGGCAGCTTCTGTTTGAGTCTGGGGTTGTATGGGGGGGTGAGACGGGGAGGAAGAGAGAGAGAGGGAGGGGTGAGTAAGCTGTAAATGAGGGGGAGGGTGGGAGACCAGATCTGAGGCCTGGGAGGGGAGGGGGTCCGGCTGGGATTGGGGGAGGTACTGGGTCTGCTGGAGGGGGTCTGGGGTACCTGGGTGACTTCAGGTTGGGACTGAGGCGGGTGCTGGAGGTGGGAGGGACAGGAATGGGTCATCAGGGTCTGGTTTTGGGGCCGAGGGACCTGAGATGGACTCTGGTTCTGGGGGTCTGGGCTCCTCCAGGGTTTGATACAGAACCTGAAGACAGAGACGAGACGATCAGAGAGACATCAGACCTGGTTCAGATCAAAAACACAGAAGTTGAGATTTCTTACTCGGAGTCGCCTCGTCGACTTGAGCGGCCTGACGGATGAGAGAGGAAGAGGAGGAGGAGGAGGAGAGCGGGGGAGGACTGGGGGAGTGAGGGGGAGCGGTGAGGGGGGGGAGGAGCGGGTGAGAGAGGAGGGATGGAGGAAGCTCTGAGCGGCGGCGGGAGAGGGAGCGATGGGTGCGATAAAAGTGGGAGGAGGCAGAGAAGAAGACGGAGGAGGAGAGGGGGAGGAGTTAGGGGGTTGAGAGGAGGGGGAGGAGTTAGGGGGCTGAGAGGAGGGGAGGAGTTAGGGGGCTGAGGGGAGGGGGAGGAAGCAGGGGAGGACGGGGGTGATGAAGGAGAAGAGAGAGGCGGAGGAGGGGACAGCAGGAGGAGGAAGAGGAGGAGAAGTGGATGAGGAGGAGGAGGGAGCGTCTGGAGGTGCAGGAGCCGCGGTGGGCGGGTTCGTTTTCGGCGCTGAAGCTTTGTGCGAGCTCAGGGAGGCGGGGGCGGAGTCTGCAGACGGAGCAGCAGGAGCAGCAGGAGCAGCAGGAGGACGTTTAGTGGCGATGGGGTTGGTGGGTGTATTTGCAGTATTAGTAGAAGAAGAAGCAGGAGTAGTGAGAGGCGGGGTGGAGGACTTCGGTCTCTCTCCAGCAGAGGGCGACGGAGCTCCGACGTCTTCAACTGGACTCTTCTGTAAAAACAAACAGAGTCCGATCAGAAGTTCTTTTTTTTATTAGGTGCAATAGAGTGACAAACTGGTGACATATACAGAAATGAGGCACAAAAAAACAGACAAGGTCAGGACAACAACTCCAAAATAAAGTAAAAGAAAATAAAAATAAAAAAAATCTAAAAATAAAAATACATTAAAATATTACAAAACTATGAAAGAAAGGATACAAGAAGTGAAAGAAGCGATAGAGAGAAAGAGAGAAGGGGAGATGTTCTTAAATCTACAAAAAGTCCTTTATTTTCTTTCACAATTAAAGCAGGAAGTTAAGAAATCTCAGATTAAGAAAGTCCAAAACTTCAAAATAAAAGCCTGAGAAAAACTGTTTTGAAATGCAAAATAATAGAATTTCAGAGAAGCGATCAACTGAGATTAATTTTAGAAATGATGAATTGTTTTGCATTTCTTTCTTCACCTCTTCCAGCGCTGATGGGACAGATTGATTTGGTTCTGAGAGACTGACTCATGACGCTGAAGTGCGACATTTAGCATCACCAATATTATTATTTTTTTAAATCAATAAATTCAAACAAACTTACCGTTTTGTTCCTCTGAGATTTCTTCTTCTCTCCTCCTTTCTTCCTCCCTCCGTCCCCCTGACTGGCGCCCTGAAAACGACGGTGACAAATAAACACACGCTCACGTTACGATCAGGACGAGACCTTTCCCAACTCTCAACTCGTTCTCACAATGAGAGCATCACTGACCCCGAGAGCGGGGAAGCTCTGCTCGTCTCTCAGCTGGATCTCCACCAACGCCACGTTCATCTTCTCCTCCTCTTTGGCCAAACGCTGCTCCTCCGTCAGACCGAACGCCGACTCCACCACGCTCACGGACTTCCTGTTCAAAAAAAGAGACGTAAAGAAATGAATGTACTCTTTAAACTTTCTTAATCGTCTCTTTTGAGGAGGAGAGAGAAATGAGGATTTGAACCTGGTGGATTTGGTGGCGCCCTGCTCCTCTACGGTGGCCTGCGGGGGCCACGAGTGCTGCTTCTGCACGCGCCCAGAGGGGCCCGGCGCCGGGGCCGGGACAGAGGAGGACGCGGGGACGTTCTTCCCCCGTCCTCTCCCCTTACTCCTCTCCTCCCAATCTGAGAGACGGAGACACATGAGACAGGAGCTGGGGATCGAACCCCCAACC